TGAAGAATGGAGACAACCATTGATTGACTACTTGGAGTATGGAAAACTTCCAAATGATCTGAGACACCCGCTCTGAAATACGTCGACGAGCACCTCGCTTCCTCTACTACAAAGAAACACTCTACCGGCGCTCTTTCGAAGGAGTACTTCTGAGATGCCTAGGTGAGGAAGAAGCCAATCAAGCCATGGAAGAAGCACACTCAGGCGTGTGCGGGGCGCATCAATCTGGACCAAAGCTACATTTCCAGCTCAAGAGAATGGGTTACTACTGGCCAAGTATGGTGAAGGATTGCCTGGAACATGCCAAAAGGTGCCAAGCCTGCCAATTCCACGCCAACTTCATACATCAACCACCTGAACCATTACACCCTACAGCCGCTTCATGGCCATTCGATGCATGGGGATTGGACGTCGTGGGACCAATTACTCCAAAGTCGTCTGCAGGAGAAGCTTACATCCTAGCTGCAACAGATTATTTCTCCAAGTGGGCTGAAGCCATACCCCTAAGGGAAGTAAAAAAGGAAACTGTTGTCCGCTTCATCAAAGAGCATATCATCCACAGGTATGGTGTGTGCCTCGGTACATTATCACTGACAATGGAAAACAGTTCTCCAACCGACTTGTAGACGAACTCTGTGAGAAATACAAGTTCAAGCAGCACAAGTCTTCCATGTATCATGCTCCGGCCAACGGTCTCGCAGAAGCATTCAACAAAACATTGTGCAACCTCTTAAAGAAGGTGATCGGCCGAACAAAGAGAGACTGGCACGAAAGAATAAGCGAAGCACTTTGGGCATATAGGACAACGCATAGGACTCCTACCCAAGCTACCCCTTATTCTCTCGTATATGGCGTAGAAGCTGTTTTACCGCTAGAAAGTCAAATCCCCTCACTTAGGATGGCTATACAAGAAGGCTTGACTGATGAAGAGAATGCAAAGTTGCGCCTTCAAGAGTTGGAATCACTCGACGAAAGAAGGCTCGAAGCTCAACAACACTTGGAATGCTACCAAGCACGGCTATCCAAGGCATTCAACAAGAAGGTCCGCCCAAGGTCTTTCCAAACTGGAGATCTCGTCCTTGCATTACGAAGGCCTATCATCACAACTCACAAGACAAAAAGCAAGTTCACATCAAAGTGGGATGGACCGTACGTAATACAAGAGGTCTACACGAACGGCGCCTACTTAATCATAGCAGAAGACGGCTTGAAGATCGGTCCCATCAATGGCAGATTCTTGAAGCGTTACTACCCCTAAAGGCTACGGCACAAAGCTCCTGGCCCGCAAGAGCATAAACTGTGTACGGCGAAATCATCATCAAAATCACTATAAAAAAATTTAAAAAAAAAAAAAAAAAAATCATCGCTCATTTGAACTACGTTATGACTTGATCCCTCATCAACCGAGGGTACGTAGGCAACTTGAAACTTCAAAACATCAAGTACAGTCACATCACCAACAAAAACACAAACACTTTGAAGAATAAATAGCAAATTCAAGATATGAATATTTTATTTCTTTAAAGAAATGATTTGGTTACAAAGCCATATTACAAAGGTGAGCACTACGCCAACGTCACCACCAAGGGAAAACTGTGACCAAAAGGCATTGCACAGCAAAACCCCACCTGCAACACATGGTGCGCACACCCGAAACAAGTGGACCTCCAAGTCAGCCACGCGACCTCGTCTGCAAACACCTTCTTTTCCGTTGACTCTTCTTCTTCCTCTCATAAAAGTTGCACAATCACCCACAAAAGAAAAGGAAGACCCGCAGATGCACAAAATCTGAATCCAGATGTGGTGTTTCTCTCTCTCTCCTATGCAGCGACGTCTCTCTCTCCTATGCAGCGACGTCTCTCTCTCCAAGCCACAGCAAAGACGAACCTGTAGCAACAAGAATGAAGTTGCAGCGGTTGAAGACGAGGAAAGCAACTCGGCCTTGTCATTCGAACCTACACTCGCATTCACTTTCTCTGACCGAGTCAAGCAGAGCAGACTTTTGATCCCTTCCTAGGTTCTTCGCCGGTTTAGCAACCTCAGCCTGACAGAGCACTATATAAAAATAAAAAATATATATATATTTATATATGCGGCAAACCGTCCTCAGCAATAAAACATACCTCACAAAGTGAAGGCAGCGCCCTCATTCATCTTCTCCATTGGTGGAAACATTTGCAGCGCCATCGAGGACGATAAACGGAAGCCCAAGCGGTTGTAGCAACCATGCTGCAGTCCTTCATCCTTCCGTCCTCATGCTCTTTGCAACTCTCCCTGAAGCTTGCAGGATAATGAAGTTTGTTGTTGCTGCCCTAATTTTGATAATGGTGAGCTTTTCCTTTGCCGCAGTGAAGACTTCGGATGAACACGATGAACATCGACGTGACCGACTGCAGGGCGATGGGGTTGAAGAAGCTGCACCACTTTTTATCCAACACCGAGCTCACCACACGGCAGACGAGAGAAGAGCACGTCGCAGCAAAGAAACAGGACGGTGCAGTTAAGATTCAGGGCAGTAAGCTAGTGCAGTGTCTATGTAAAGACTACGCAATGCCCTATGTATGTATGCATGTGTGTATGAATGAATGCGTGTGTATATATATATTGGTCTCAACAGGCTGCAAATAAAACCGGTCTGCATGTAGTGCAGTGACTGTGCAAACAGTGATCCGCATGCGATGCAATGACTGTGTAAAAAGCAATCCGCATGCAATGAAGATTGTGATAAGGTGATTGTGCAAGTGAAAAGATGGTCCGCATGCGAGAAGAACGCAATGCAGTGAGGAATGCCACCAAAAAAACCAACTGTGCTATCGTCAAGCCACTCACGAGTGTGTATTACTATTCGCAAGTCAATAATGGAAAAGGAAATGGGTGGTGATGACAAAATGATGCTTCCAGTCACCATCTAAAAAGAAATGGGTGCACTAGTCACCATCTAAAAGGAGGTGGGTGCATAGGGAAGTAATGCATCTTAGTCAGATATGCGTTTTATTTGCGTTTCAACACAACATACTGAATAAAATAAGACATGTCCATTAATATCTCCGAGAAATTACACAAAAAAAAAAAAAAAAAAAAAAAAAAAGCCTTCACGAATGTCACTTGTGTGAAGCCTCAGTACTTGGAGCCTTGGTACTCGGTGGAACCCTAAAGGAAGGAGGCACCGAAGATAGCTTATTCGGAGCCTCAATACTTGGTCGAACTCCAGATGACGAAGGCAAAAAGTGCCTCTGGAATACATCCACAAACTTCCGATGGTCACTTTGAATTCGATCTTCGGAGTCCGTCAGCTGATCAAGCTTCCTCTTCATGCTCGTCGAATAATTATTTGCAAGCACATGCAACTCTCTATTCTCACGCTTGAGCTGCCTAATCTCTTGACTAAGAGCTGCCACCTCAGTTGTCAATGATTCAACCTGGCGAGTTCGAGCAAGTAAGCGTTGGCCCATGTTGGAAACAGAGTTCGCACACTGGACACTGAGAGCCTGGGACTCTTGAACAGCTAACTCGTCGGACCGTCGTGAAAGTATCCTATTATCTTTAGGAGTGAGGAGGTTTCTAGCTACAACCGTAGCCGTTGTTGCATCCCTCATCACAGAGTCTTCAACTGTAAGAGGGCCATTAGAAGAAAAAAAAGACGGGCGCCATACATTACCCTGACGCGGTGCACCTGTGTCGCTGCTAAGACTCAAATCTAAGCAAATGTTAAAAGGGGAAGTCATTTTCAAAAATACTAAAAGAAAAAGGTTGGATGCAGTAAAGAGTAGCAGAGGTAATTTTTCACGGACAGACAATCTTCAAATTGTGCGTGTTGAATACAATTGACACCTCTTTAAAAGGAGAGGCAGCACAACCATTCGTTCGTAAATCGAAGAAACACCACTCCCCGAATTTCAAAACCCGGATTTTTCTGCGTAAAGTCCGTCGACACTTCTCAGACACAATCTCAGCTTTCGGCTATCACGTGCAACTTTGTCAGATATCACTGATAAAGTTGAAAACGTGTAAGGTCCATTACGCCAACTACCGCACTTCTGCCGACAAGCGTGGGTGACAAGGCCACGCTCACCCTACCACTTGATGTTGAGAGCTCACCATATAATTCGACCTCCATCTTATAGCAAGACACACATCTAGCTTGACTCATCTTCCTTGCCGAAGGCATCTGCAACCAAAACTCAGTTTTCTTCCTCCCTGAAAACACATCCAACCTGACCTTTCTTCCTTGCCGAAGACATTTGCAACCCAAAACTCAGTTTTCTTCCTCCCTGAAAACGCATCCAGCCTGACCTTTCTTCCTCGCCAAGGGCATCTGCAACCAAAATTCAGTTTTCTTCCTCCCTGGAAGCGCCTCTTCAACCAAGCCACACCAGAGTAAAGGTATCTCATATATCACTGGGGTTGAGAGCAAGAGTATCTCATAGCATGCTTTCTCCCTATCCTTTTCTTTGTCCTCCCTCTTCACTACGAAGACAAGGATAAAGAAAGCAATATGTCGGTACCTCCACTCAAGCTCCTGGTAAGGAACCGACTGCTTGGAACCTTTCCTGATTGCTCACCTAGCCGTGCTCTCGAATACGCATCGTCAACATTTTCTGCTTCCTCTTCGTCTACCACGTCTGCCTGGAAAACAGATGATGCAGGTGAAGATGATGCAGATGAAGATGATGCATCGAAGCATATGGAGACAGGCGCGACGAATGCATGTGCTGATCGTCCGCTACTTCTTCAAAAGCAAAAGTATCTCATATCACTGGGGTCGAAAGCAAAGGTATCTCATATCATGCTCTTCCCCCATCTTCTCATCTGCCCTTGCTCTTGCCTGCAGAACAAGGGGAAAGGAAGCAATCAGTCGGAACCTGAAATTAAATGTCCGACCAGGAACTGATTGCCCGGAACCTTTGCCTGGTTACTTACCTAGCGTTGCTCTCTCGAGTGCTCATCTTCAACTGCTAATATGTCTCGAATTCCGTCAGCAAATGCTTCAAGAGTGTGGATCTGTTGACATCGGCTCTTTGCACTGAAGCTGCCAAGCATGAGTGAGTCGCTGAGAGGTGGTGCTCCGAGGAACCATTTAAAGGCAAAAGGTTGCACATCGCTTCAGCCATGCAAAAGAAATAAGCAGAGAAGAATGCAACACAAACAAGCTGGAACAAATCATGAAGCACGAAGCCCTTCCCTGCATGACCACATAATCCAGACGGAGGAGTTCAAGTAAAGATCCAAGCTAGACACCGTTGCTCTAACCAAAATGCTCGAGAAGCTTTAACAAACCTTCGCCGGTACCGTCACCGAAGAGCAAAGCCTCGATAATCCTTAAAGATTAAGTCACCAACTGGAAGAAGAGCCCATCAATCTTGAAGATCATACTGTTGACCAAACTGCTCAGGGTTCATATGAAAATGCTGCGAGCTTCCTTGATCTTTCAAAGCATGCATGTCCTGAAACTGCTCGTGGTCATGTTTAAGTTCGAAATCAAGCCTCAACGACCCTGACTCAAGATCAAGTGTCCACCACCCTTGAGTCAAATCCAGTTCAAGATTAAGTCTGTGTGGAAAGTCCTTTGGAGGAAACCAGAAAAACTCCTCCAGCCTAGTTCAAGATCAAAGCTGTGGAAAGTCAACAAGCACAACAAAATACGTGCTGATTCATCCATTATCAAAGCCAAGGATCGTCTACTACGTGAAGCTCCTTGTGGTCCAATTTCATCCAAGATCAAGCCTCAACGGCCCTTGAAGAAATTTCAAACAAAATTCAAGAACAAGCCTTAACGGCACTTGAAGAAACTCCCAGACCTCTTCAAGATCAAGCCTCAACGGCCCTTGGATCGACATCTACATTAAGGGACTTCAAAACGCATCTTCTACACGTGACAAGCACATGTATACTATGCGCCTTGAAGTGTGGGCATTTGTAGACATTGAAATTTCGTTGAAATAAATGTTAGCCATCGCATTAAAATTACATTTGTAAACATTGAAATTTTAGTGAAATAAATGTTGACCATTGCATTAAAACTACAACAATCCACCCAAATTCACCTACAACCTCCACCCAAATTCACCTACAACATACACCCAAATTCACCTACAACAATCCACCCAAATTCACCTACAACCTCCACCCAAATTCACCTACAACACATACACCCAAATTCACCTACAACAATCACCCAAATTCACCTACAACCTCCACCCAAATTCACCTACAACAATCCATCCAAATTCACCTACAACCTCCACCCAAATTCACCTACAACAATCCACCAATTCACCTACAACATCCACCAAAATAAATGGATGGTGGTGGTTCATTCCCAAAGCCTATAAATAGGCTCCTCCATCAAAGAATCAAAAGAGGATTTTTACATACACTTTCTCTACTCCCAAATTGGAAGAGAAGTCACACCCACACCAAAGCCTTGAAGCTCGAAACTTAGAAGCTCTCAAGCAAATCCCGAAGGATCAAGAAAGCCCTCTTCGTTCTTCGTGAAATCCTCCTTCAAGATCAAGCCCCAACGCCCCTTGGAGAACTTCCACTCATTCAAGATCAAGCCCCGACGGCCCTTGAAGAAGGTGTTCATCACTCATCAACTGTTCGTCCAAGATCAAGCCTCGACGGCCCCTGGATCAGCAACACTACCTCTACGCGTTTCAAAGATAGAATCAGAGGCCAAATTCGTAGAAGAGATTGTAACCCCTAAATCATTAATACAAATATTATTTTGTACACGTGTTCTTGTCTCATTCGTTTCAGGAATTTTCCGTGTTTACAGTTGTGAAACATAAATAGTGATTGTCCTTATTCCACGTATAGTAGTAAATCATCATAAACAATCACATTAACGTAGAGAAGCGTTTTGGGTTAACATTAATGTATTTGATGCCTTATATAAAGATGGCCTAATGATAATGGAAGACACTTGAGTTCTGCTTCACTTTCTCTCTTGTCTCTCTTTCTATTCTCTCGTATTTCATACTTTATTTCCAACACGTTACAAGCGCGAATGTTATCTCAAATTTTGTTTTAGATTTCAAAGCGAGAGTGGAGATAAGAGAATGGCAGTACAAGATCAACTAGTGCAGAAAAGCAACTATGCTTTGGCGATTCATTATCTATTTTCCTTTCTTAAAACTTTTGTTGTGATAGTATTTTTTTTTTTTTTTAGGTCGAGTGATAGCGTTAGTAAGTTAGATGTTAGATAGCATTTGTAATGATAATTTTAGTTATATGTTTTTATCCTCGGTCATGTTTCTACTAATAATATATAACTCTGCTGCATATTTACTATTGAAGTGATTAGCCCCTCTATTATTGCCTAACAGATCTTGAATTTTATCCATTTATTTTTATATAGACCTTTTCACATGGCAAATACTTAACTAATTATACTCTGAATATGTATTCTTTTAAAAAAAAACTAATGAAAAATAACTTGAAAACTTTGAGTTTTAATAAAAAATAAAAAAAAAACTATGTAATAATTAACTTTATTTAATGGTTAATAGAAAACCCAAACAAGTTCAATTAAAATGACTCAACCAGAATAACATACTAATTTCTCCATTTTGCCCCCGACGTTTTCAGGTTATATTAGTTTTGTTTTCCGTTAGTTTAGTCATGCGGAAGAACACAGTTAAATCGCTTGTGCTTTTGTTTGCAAAATTTGATATCGTTAATAAAAATGGCAGAGTTGTACGCCCATGGATTTGCTTATCGTTAATTCCCATGGATTTGATATCGCAAAACTTAGGCCTTTATAACGTTTTTAGGGGTGGCGCTCGTTTGGTGCAGGTGGTGGTGTATACCAGAGTTTTTCTTGTCCGCGAGATCCCACCGGAGTGCCTTCGGTTTGGGAGATGATGGCAAATCCAAGACGACGAGAAGACGACAAAGATGAAGCATCAGAAGATGGTGGGATCCAAGTTTTGGGTGCTGGTTTGATTTGGTTGGTCACGGTGATTTTAATGGTGATGCAATGCGTCAGTGATGAGGTTGGGGTGAAGAGCAGCGGCGGCTGCTCTGTTATGGCACTGGCAGACCAGACGGAGAAGAAGAAGACTACCCGTTTAAGCAAAACGGTGTGATTTGATATGGGTTTAAAAAACACCCTCCTAGCTACGTGGGAGGCTGAAAGCCTCACTATTTCTTATTCAGAAAAAAAAACAAAAACAAAAACCGCGTGGTGTACTTTATGCGGTCCACTTTATCAGTTTTAATCAATGTATAAAATATTGATGATATCGAAAATATCGGTAGTCTAAAAATACAGAAATTTCAATGGAAATATCGGGATATTATCGATAACGATAAAAATTGAATAAAAACCACGGAAATTGTAAGAAAAACTTGGAAATTTTTATTGAAACTTTGTAGGATGTTTATTTAGTCAATTATCTATTAGTTTATCACAAAAAATTGGAAGGAAATGCATTGCGTGATAGATATAACTGATTTAAATTGATTATATAGCGAGCTGGCAAACATTGTGAGTGTAGAAAATATGTAGTAATTAATGAAAGAGTTTAAACACACCATAATCATTTATATATAATGAATTAGTACAATAGTTTACACTTTATACATTGCATGGTAAGATACATGAGTGACTTAGCAAGGTCAAAAATATCGATGATATCAGAAATATCGGTAGTCCAAAAATACGGAAATTTCGATGAAAATATCGGGATATTATGGATATTTTAGACCATGGTTCTAATTATAACTCCCACTCCCTAATTAACTATTTGCTTTATCACATTCTAATTTTGTATCTTTTCTCCTCCACCTCTTAATCCCCTCATTTCCAAAATTCAAGTGTTGTATTTTAGTTTAAATTAATAATATAAAATGTTAAATTCATAATATATTTTTGTTTTTGATAATTTATTATGATTTTTTAATATTATTTGCATTGGTTAGTTCTTGTGAATACTTTTAGCCTTATTAATTAATATGGTTTTTTTTTTTTTTTTGGATTAACTGATATGTGTAGAAAACATTTCAACCATGAGTACCATTAAGAGTTGACTTCACAATAAAATGACAATCAATGGTCAAATGATAACTTAATTATTTACATTGAGAAATATGTTATTTCTTGTATGGACAATGAAACCACATAACAAGTTTTTATAGTATGAAACCTCTTTGTGCACAAATTTAGCCTTTGTAACTTGTAACGTTGTTTGTAGAAAGATTATGAATGAAAAATTGTAGTTCATCGTTTAATTATTCAATGTTGCTTTCATTAATTTTTCTAGAGCTTTTATATTGGGACCACCTCATGTTAAAATCCTGGATTCGTCACTAGTCGTCGTCATGCTGTGAAAAGCACTACTACAGGAATTTGAAGTCACCATTTCAAGTAGGGTTCTCGTGTCT